ATGGGAAATCTGTGACCACAACCAACACCCCTTCATTAGTTTTAAGCGAACCAGTTGTCACGGCAAGCATGAGGGATAGTGAAAGTTTTGAGTTGTCTGACTGTTATGTATGTAGGCTCAGGAATCAGTATTGTGTTGTTTCGCTGACGGACATTTCAGCCAAAGCGGAGGTGCGCATATGGAGAGTAGCGGAACGACCCAAGATCCAAAATCCACTCGAACTCGAGTTTTCACGTAGAACTACGTCATTATGGACGCTGTCCAGAAAAATGTGACGGATCTTCTTACGGGTGCACGAAAGGTTTCGGGTTGAGAGTTTCGAAATCGCGGATGGCTTCTTAGACGACATCTGGCAAGGGAAAACTGATAGAGAGGCTATTGAACTTCCAACAACTGCGTCTTTGGAAAACTACCTCTGGAACCTTCAAATCACCTCAGTTATTGAGGATCATTGAACATCGAAACCAAACGTGGTGCGTGATGATGGATTGTGGTACTCGAGGGTGCCGGAGCGAATAATCGCGCCTGTCGGTGAGCTGACGATCGTGGTACGAAAGCGACGAGCACATGTCAGGATATTGGAATATCGGTATCAGCTGATCGTCTCCCACGCAAGGCCGAAGACGAGGTTGTCGGTGCGCTCGACACATCTCGCGTACACCTGCATGCGCGCTGCCGCGTGGCCACCTCACGACCGAACTGAATCATCCGGATGACAAAAACCATGTAGACAGGATCCGGCCTCGGAACTGATTCGGATGCTCTAAGCCGGAAAGCTGAATCTCAGCAATGCAGAATTCGTACGCCGAAGAGGATCCGATACAGCCAAAGGCTCGCAATATTCGACTTTCCCTTTTCACTGTCGGCTGAGAGTTTCTCAGATCCCTCATTCCCTCATCAGTGCGTTTCGAGGAACTCTCAAGGTTTTGAGCCAGGTAGTACTATATTCTCGATTCGCTGAATAAGGGCTCGAGACACACATCCGGATTTGAACCATATTGCGATACGATTCCATCGATTAATTCTCGGCGTCGCTCGAGTGCGGCCGGATTTGATCGTCTGGATCGGAACTTCACAAGAATAGGAACACATCTTTGAGGACCCAGGATTCTCATGCGGGACCGAACTTCATCGGCTTCATAAGAGTGCGTCCAAATATTTTCCCCATATCGAGTCTTGAGATAGGAGGGACATATCGTTGAGGGTCCTGGATTTCGCATCCGGGATCGAACCTCATTGGCTTCGGAAGAGTGCGGCCGGATTGTTCTTCTTCTTCGCCTACATCTGCGTAGCCGTGAGGGGCTCTGTAGTCTCGAGAGGTGGGCATTCTTGATTTACTCCCGCTGACACGAACTTAGAGAATTCGCACTGGAACACGGAGCACCATCGTACTGATAACGTGAAGAATTTGATGTCCTTTTATCGATACCTCGGCTAGCGAACACAGTGGGTAACTGGCAAACGTTCCCCCTGACGGGGATTCTTTATCCCATCCTTACATAGTGATCCAGTGAGAAGGGATACATTGTAACAACTGCTCAGGGTTCGCTAATTGTCCAGATACTGACATGAGAGTTACAGAAGAAGACTGGCAGTGAAACGTGCGGAAGGGTTGTGGAAATACCCAGGGACGTTCCGCTCTGGTGAATTCACTAATTCTAGCCACAGGGGTTTCTGGGCGCATATTAGACTGAAGACTCAGTATATTTCATCAGCCCGGCTCTCTCGTCGTTAGATATTCTCATAATTAAACTGAACCATTAACTTGTTCGCCACACTCGCGGCCGGATTCCTGCCGATTCTGTGAGATAGTAATAATCGCCAGGGACATCCTGATACACTTCGTTGAACACATCTCATAAACGCTACATTGATACAGATGGGAAGGAGTTTGAGAAGAAGCGAGACTGGATCTGAAGCAACGGAAGCGCGGAAAATGACTCGGAGGCCGAGCCTCGGAAACCGTTAGAAAATGGATATGTGCGATGGGCGCGGCCTGTTAATCCATTGGTCGAACCATTCTCTCCTAAGTCAAATCTCTTGCTTTCGATCCCGCTTCTCGTCATTCGTAGCGGTCTCAGAGAAGCTGCCAGATGTACTCAATCGCAAACATGCCAAACTGTGAGTCCTAGCGCAAAAAAATTCGGCGCTAATGATTTGGGCTACTACAGTCCTTTTACTTAGGTTTATAGCCGAACAGCATCGGGAGCTACGTTTGCTGAGAATTTTTTTTTCCTTGAAGTCCTCTTTCCGCGCATGATTCAGGTAATTTGCGTCGCGCATGGACTCCACCGAGTGAGCAACCAGATTCGCACGGAGTTCCGTAAGGTCGATATACTGGTCGCCAGTATGAAAGCGCTTGGCACTTTCATAAACGTGGTCCTACTTGGGGAGTTTATGATTGTGCGCTCAAATCAATCATGCGCTCAAATCAATCATGCGCTCGAATCAATCATGAGCTCAAATCGACTGTGCGCTCAGATCAATCATGCGCTAAAATCAACCGAGCGCTCGAATCAATCACGCGCCGAAAACAATTTCGCTGAAATCAATTCCGCTCAATTCGATCGTGCTGAGATCGATCGCGCTCGGATCGATTGCGCCCAAATCGTCGATGCGCTCAATTCAATACTGCGCTCAATTCAACTTCGCGCTCTGATCGACCGTGCGCCCTAGTCAATCTGCGCCGAAAGAGATGGACTACAGACACGGGGTCCTCTCCCTCGAATTTTTCCAAGACCACGATGGTATGGTTCAGGACAGGCGTTTGCTTACAGAGCGCTACGAGGTTCGTTCATGCGGTGCCATACCATTTGAGCGCAAGTAACATCGAGCGCAGCGGAAAATTGAGCGCAGCGTAAATCTCAGCGCAGCGTAGGTTGGAGCGCAGCGTGAATCTTAGCGCAAAGCAAATCTGAGCGCAGCGTAAATCTGAGCGCAGGTGAATTTGAGCGCAAAGTATATGTGAGCGCGAGCTAGAGTTGTTGAGCGTGGAGGTATTTTTAGCGCGGAGGTTATTTGAGCGCGAAGAATACCATGCGAATTTCAAGGTTCCCACAAAATCTTCTCCGTGGCGCTGTCTCCCAGGTGTGGCTCGGCTATGAACATAAGTTTGTGCGCCGTGTGGGTCTAACTTTGGTTAGGCACCCTAACTTAGGTTGAGTCTGCCTCACAATGTCATGCCTACCCCGTCTGGAACCTGAGCTTCCCCACCCTCATGCTTCGCTCGGGAATACGTGGTTTTCTGGACACGGTCCCCGGGCATTTCCGAAGAAATGCCATCTCTGTCAACTTGATCGCGCTCTGTGCTGAAATCAGCTCCGCGCTCAAATCCACGAGCGCTCAAATTCACGATGCGCTCAGATTCACTTTGCGCTCGAATTGATGCTGCGCTCAAACTCACGAGCGCTTAAGATTACGCTGCGCTCAGACTTACTTTGCGCTCTGAAGGGAAATTTCGGTCGGTTTCTCCTGAGATGACGATGAGTACTCGAAGAGTTCGATGGGATGAGTAGGCACCTTTCGGACGGAACACAACAGACCAAAGAAATAATACCGGTATAGGATTTTACTCCTCAAGTGAAGTCAGTCTTTATTGAAGCTGTTTATATACATGATTGGGAAGGGTCAGTCCGGTGTTTCACATCGGATAATGTGAAAAGCAATTATCCTACTATATATAAAGGAGCTATTTAGGCGGGAAACTTTGTCCGCTCTTGATCGGTGTCCTTACCGAACCAAAATCGATGCAAAGAGCGTTGAGATGACGCGTTGTGATTCGAAGATGTGCAAGTATGCTCCAGATTATCAATCGAATGCACCAACGCCCCAGGAATCCCCGAAAACCTCTACATCGTTTTCAGGAGGGATGGTAATTTTCCCACATAGCACACACACATACACACAGACAATCAAAATTATCCCTCGATATACATATAGCAGGATAATATGATACTTCTATTGAGAACAACGTTGCATTCTCAAAACCTTGCTCATCTCCCTCCGGTCGAGATGCCCAGGTTGAGACATTCCCGCTTCTCTCGTGACCGACAGGCCCATCCTCGCAGATCCGACCGCCTCCGGCGACAGCAGGAACGGTTGCGGAAAAGACGTTCTCGGCTTCCGGAGAACAACCCGATTCCGGATCTTGATGTGGCAGATACGCGACATATTCGGAATTCCATAACTATATCCATTGATGATGACCACAGCCCCGAACATCTCCGAGCACAGACGTCTACGGACGGCCAGATCTACAGTACACATCCCAATCACCGCAGAATGATATGATCCCAATGATTAGCATTAATGATGGACAGCAAACTGATTCTACTCTGGAGAATGTCGTGATCCCAAGAGCCAACCCAGCTCGTGGGTCAGCTCGACCACAACGCTCGCAACAAACGCTTAACATCGCTCGAGACTATCAGAAACGACCCCGGGAAGCCCATGATCTTGGTTGCATGAACTATCGCTGCGTTGGTTGCGGCGCTTTACACTTCGAATCTGAGAGGACTGCGTCTGCCAGCCGAGCTTTCACGATGTGCTGCGCGGCCGGATCTGTCGAAATTAAAGCTTTCGAGGATTTTCCACCAGCTTTACAGAATCTCTACATCACTCAGCAGGCTGAGGGAAAAGCTTTCCGTCAACACATACGCAACTACAATAATTCACTCGCGATGGCCTCGATGGCGGCCAACATTGAAACACCACGCGGAACGGGACCATACTGTTTCCGTGTCCACGGGCAGGTGTATCATACGATTGGCGGTCTACGACCACGAACCGGTGAAGCCCCTCAGTGCGCCCAAGTGCTCATAATGGACACTGAAGAGGCGGCGAATGAGCTCACCGCGCGACCGATGAACCGAGATTGTGGTGAATCGATCTTCAAGTTGTTACATGTCATCTTGAAAGCATCGAATCCCTATGCGCAGGCATTTCGCCTAATGGCACAAGTCGCCGAAGAGGAAAGTGTCCGAGCCCAAGCCAATGGTTGAATGGTTTTTCAACAGGATCCGAAAGATGATCAGCGACGCTACAACATAGCGACAGCGAACGAGGTCGCTATCGTTTACGTCGGGGATGAGGAGGATATACCAGGAAATCGGCTCTTGGTGGTGCACGAAACCACGGGCAATTTACGCGTTATTAGTTATCTCGACAAGTTGTGCGATCCTCTGACTTATCCGCTGCTGTTCCCGTCGGGAGGAGAAGGGTGGCATCCTCTCTTGAATAAGCACAATGCCAATCCGACTGGCCGGACCCGCCTAACTCAGAAGGAATATTACTCCTATCTTCTGTTTACAAGAGATACCTTCTTCAACCCCCTACACCACGCCGGAAAATTATTCCAGCAATTTATTGTCGATAGTTGGTTGAAAATCGAGATGAACCGCATCAACTACATACGACAAAACCAACGTCAACTTCGGCTCGATACCGTTCAAGGTCTAGAAGATTACATGCTGAGTGACAACGTCAACGACGGCCCGCCAGGCCGCCGAGTGATTTTGGCTGCGTCGTTCACCGGCAGTCCTCGATACATGATTGCTCAATACCAGGATGCAATGAGCATTGTTGCCAGATACGGTAAACCCGATTTATTCATAACGTTCACCTGCAACCCGAAGCGGCCCGAGATCGAGAACAACCTCTGTCCGGGCCAACGCGCCTCGGATAGACCCGATCTGATAGCCCGGGTGTTCAACTTAAAAGTGAAGAGCCTATGCCATGAGGTGATTAAGAAACAGGTATTCGGTTCCGTCGCGGCCTTCATCTATGTCATCGAATTCCAGAAGCGTGGGCTCCCGCACATGCACATGTTGCTCACTCTGGAAAATGATTTCAAGCTTCGTACAGGTGCCGATGTCGATTCAATCATAAGCGCGGAATTTCCTGATCCTCACGAATCTCCTGTGCTCCACAATATCATTTCTTCTTGCATGATCCATCGTCCATTTGGTAGAGCTAACCCAAGTTCTCCCTGTATGGTCAATGGGATGTGCTCGAAGCATTATCCCAAAGCCTTTCGGAACGACACCTCGATATACACCACAGGCTATCCGGAATATCGACGCCGACAGGACGGACGAAAGATTGTTTGTCAAGGCCAGGAGATGGACAACCGGTCTGTGGTACCTTACTTACCCTACCTCTCATTGCTCTACAACGCTCACATTAATGTCGAGGTTTGCGCCCTCATACATGCTATCAAATACCTGTTCAAATACGTATATAAAGGTCCTGATAGAGCGCGGATCCGTCTGAATAGTGCCACCGATCAAGGACCTCACGACGAAATCAATTCTTAGTGGGACACACGTTATGTGTGCGCACCAGAAGCAGCGCATCGGATACTCGGCTTCTCTATGAGTGATCGAAGCGACTGTGTGATGAGACTGCAGGTTCACCTCCCAGGTTTCGAAACCGTCCGGTTTGAGCCAGGCTCCGAAGGACAAGCACTCCAAGATGCCGTGAATAGGCTGTCAACCTTGACAGCTTTTTTCAAGGAGAACAAAAGGTGTCAAGACATTGAGAATGACCAAGGAACCTTTCCTGCCAACCTACTCGATTCCCGCCGATTTCGCTACAACGAGATGCCCGAAAAGTACACTTTCAGACATCAATGTTGGCATCCGCGTAAACGCGCAGGAGATCGTACAATCGGACGCATGTACTTCGTGAGCCCGCAAGATCACGAGCGTTTCGCTCTACGTCTTCTTCTGTTGTACGGCACTGGCTTCACATCCTTCCTCGATGTACGAACTGTCGGCGGCGTCCTTCACCCAACCTTCGTCGAAGCCGCCAGAGCCAATGGTTATTTGCAAGACGATTCGTTCTTCAGAAGTAGCCTGCAAGAAGCTGCCGGTCTCAGCATGCCTTCACAATTGAGGGGGTTCTTCGTGGCCCTGATAATGTTTGCCGAACTCCATCCACCTCGCTCGCTGGAGCTTTGGCACGAATTCAAACTTCATTTCATGGAAGATTATCTTCATGCAGGACTGACTGAACAAGTCGCGGAATCAAAAGCCTTCTACGACATAGCACAACGCTTATCGGACTTCGGAAAAGATTATCGCCTAAGCCTCCCTGTTGATCTTCCCCGTTTCGACGACGTGACCATTCCCGTCGATCTGCAATCTCATCGCACTCAGGGGGATATCAACTACGCTCTCCTGAATCCAGAGCAGAGGGTAGTGGTCGATGACATACTGCGCGCCTCTGAGTCTCCACGAGGTCAGTGTTATTTCATCGACGGTCCTGCTGGGAGCGGCAAAACTTTCGTTTACACAACCATCTATCACTTGGCGACAGCCAACGGTTTGACCGTCATGAATGTAGCTTGGACAGGAATTGCTGCGAATCTTCTGCCCGACGGTCGAACAGTAACTTCAACGTTCCGTTTGAATGTCCACGACAACAGCAAGTCATCCAACATGAAACGTCAATCGAAAGAAGCTCAGGCGCTCCGCTCCGTCGACATCATCATCTGGGACGAAGCAGCGATGGCCCCGAGAACAGCTCTCGAATCTGTCGACCAATTACTCCAGGACATAATGCAGAGCACGGAGGTGTTTGGAGGCAAGATTCTGATTCTCGGCGGAGACTTCCGCCAAATTTTGCCCGTTGTAGAGAGAGGCTCACGTGCTCAGATTGTGGATGCTTGCTTGAAAAGCAGCCCTTTATGGCGACTTTTCCAACCGTTCCAACTACGACAAAACATGCGTGCCCGAGGTGACGACTTATCCTTCCGTGAATGGCTACTGGACATAGGCGATGGACGCTCACCCCCCGATATGCCGGTTCCAGTCGATATGCGATGCCGAGGGAACTTGGCCGACGACATCTTCGAGGGAATTTCTGACCAGAATCACGATATAGACTTCACTGAAGTTACCATCCTCACTCCTCTCAATGCGACAGCTCGCAAACTCAACGAATACATTCTCGATAAACTTCCTGGCCTCAGAAGAACATATCTGAGCGAAGACGAGGCGATGATTGACGACCCCAGCGACGCCCTGAATTTCCCTACTGAGTTCTTGAACCGACTTACTCCAACCACTCTCCCTCCACATGAGCTTCATCTAAAGGCTGGAAGTATCGTCATGCTGCTAAGGAATTTGAATGTGCGGAACGGTCTCTGCAATGGTACGCGACTCATCGTTACCGAACTTCACCAACGAATAATCGTTTGCAAATTCGCCACAGGGCCGAAAAAGGACTCTTCTGTGATTCTACCTCGCATCGATTGCTACCATTCTCATCATACGCTGCCATTCCGACTCCGCCGCAGACAATTCCCAATCCGCCTCAGTTTTTCTATGACCATTAACAAATCACAGGGTCAATCTTTCTCGCGGGTCGGGATTGATCTGAGCGACATGATTTTCTCTCACGGACAGCTTTATGTTGCATGTCCCGAGCAAGAAGCCGCAGCGGCGTGGTCATCTCCTCTCCGGAAAAATCGCATGCGTAATATCGTCTACGATGAAGTTTTCAAGTAATCTATCAGCTTCTTAAGGAGCAAGAATCTCTCGAGCCTCTCTTCCGATGTATCCGTATACCTCGGTCACTTCCATCCGAGTCGGCTTCACTTCGTCCCGATATATTCGATCTCCCCACTCTTCAATGCTCTCATGTCCCTA